AGAAGGGTATCCTGCCATAATGATATCCCGTTGTACTTTTCCAGGAATTGTAACCAAACCCCGAGGTCCGCCTTCACCTGTTTTGATAGTCGCACCCTGTGATGGGGTGCTTTGAGGCCCGCCGCCAGACGCGCCAGGCGCCCGCAAAATGGCCGCCCTGGGGCAACCACCCTGCAAGCGAAATTTAGATGGCCCAGCAGGGATTGGATCTGTCTCAATGTTATTTTCTTTAGGGGCAATAGCTGCTGCATGGTTGTTCTGAGCGCCTCCAACTTTTCAACGGGTAAGCGAGAAGTTTGGGCAATGGTGTCCAATTCGATGCCCAAATAAATTAGGGATGTGGCCGGGCCCTCTGTCTTTTCGGCGGCTAGGGGTACCCCTAGTTCGCCGGCTAGGGATGTAAAAGCCTCTAGCAGGGATGAGCAACGTGGCTTATTATCCGCGGACAAAATAAAATCATCCAGGTAATGGGAGACACCGGATGACCCTGTTCTGTTACGCAGTGCCCAGTCAAGGAACGTGCTGAAAGACTCAAAGGCTGCACATGCGACAGAGCAGCCCATGGGCATAGCTTTGTCAATGAAATACGCTCCGTCAAATTTAAATCCCAACCATTTGAAGTCCTCCGGATGAACCGGAAGGAGGCGGAAGGCAGACTCAATATCGCATTTTGCAAGAAAGGCACCCTGGCCAAATTGGCGGATCATCTTTACGGCCTGATCAAATGAAGCGTATTTCACTGTGCAAAGCTCCTGAGGAATCCCATCATTTACCGAACCCCCCCTCGGATAAGAGAGGTTGTGGATCATGCGAAATTCCCCCGGGGCCTTTTTAGGCACAATGCCCAGCGGGGAGAGGTGTAGCCCCTGGAAAGGCGGTACGGGAAAGGGACCGGCCACCCTACCAGCCCTGATTTCTTTCTCAATCTTCTTTCTGGCTATGTCGGGCCGCTCCCTCACAGATTTTTGGTTGCCCGCCTCCCTGGAGCTTGGTGGAGTGGTCACCGGGATCCTAAATCCCGAAGAGAACCCCTCCCACAGGTATTTTGCCGCGGTCCTATCAGGGTACTGTTCCAAAAGGTCTTTAAGTGGCTGTAGGCGAATGGGGGTGAAAGCCAAACCTAAGTCAGTGTTACTGGCGATTGCTGGGACCTTGACGGGATGCACCGGGGGCACCTCTGGGATTGTTATGGAAGTACCCCCTGCCCCCCCGAAAGGGCTGTTGCTTGTTCTTGAAGCACGCCGAAGCGGGGTGATTACCCCAGCATTGCTCGCATTCATGCAGATACTTACAAAAGGGGCGAGAGCATACGCCCCTGTTAAACTCCCAGCATTGCCGGCGTTTCTTTGGCTCAATCTTACCAGCCTTCGTTGCCTCCTGACTTTTCTTCTCGATGTAGGGGTTTACATCCTCTCCCCAGTAGTTCGGGTCCGTGAGGTCCCAGCGCGCGGTGGGGTGGAGAGAAGCATTCCTTCGGAAGTTCTCGTCGTACGTCAAGGCCAGCATTTTCGCCCGCAAGAGCACGCGCCCGTCTCACATGCGCCTGGTACGCCACCAAATCCATGGCACGATGGGGATAAGCTGCGCAAACTACACCCATAAAAACCTGATACCCGTCTAACCAGTTATCGAATGTGCGTTCCGCCCTGGGCGTCCTATACCTCCTTCGACCATAAGAGCGCCTTTTCTCACCTTTCCCTGTTAATTTTGCTGGAGGAAGCAAGGTAAACAAGTCCACGTAATCCCCATTGAGGATCTTATTCCTCTTTCTTTGTGATAAGTGGTTCCCCAGAATGAAGTCTGTGGGCTGATTGGTGGCGACCTTAACGTCCTCCACCAATGCCCCGTCCTTCCAATACAGCACCCCGTTAAAAATCTTACGGTGGGAATTGGCTCTTCTTTCATGGGCCCATAGGGGGATCCCATGATTCGATTCGCCAATACCCCAATAACCATCCATAGGCCCTTCAGAATCAGAATCTGAAGAGGACGTACCTGATTCCTCATCCTCAGTATCCGAATGCCTGCACTTCTTCTTCTTCGCCGACGTGTGCTTCTTTTTGGCCTTCCTCTTACCCCCAAGTGGCGTGCTAGTAGAGGGGTCGGTCGCTGAACAAGATGGCTGGATCTCCACTGCTTCCCCTTCGGAGCCGGAACCCGCACTGTCCTCGGTGGAGCTGTGCACCTGCTGATCCTGAAAAACACTCGGTGTACCTATAGCTTGAGAGGTGGGTTTTCCGCCGCTCCCTTTTTTGGGTGCCTTCCCTTTTCCCTTGCCCTTTGCAGGGGCCTTGCCCTTACCGGTAGCCTGCGTGGTTTTTCTAGAGCGGGCCGGTTGCGCCCGCGCCCCAGATCGCCCACTACCTGCGGCATTAGGCTGAGCACCTGCAGCCGGTGTGGGCGCCTGGGCACCAGCTGCAGATGAACCCTGCGGGGCCCCGGCCGACGAACCTGACAACCCCTGGATGGGGGGTGGGGTATCAGGTATTACGTCCTGCGTTGGCTCTAACGCCGGTAGCGCCGATGACCCAGGTCTGCACTGTCTGTAAAGGGTTTCGAAGACCCTGAAGAACTGATTTAACGTTTGTGGGTCACAAGTTATAACTGCAGTTTGTGCCCCATCGCTACTTGTGGAGGGAGCCGGCAAGCTGCTGCCAGTGGTGGGTTGCTGGTTTCCGTCGGAAGCCATAACTGTTTTTCAAAATTTAAATGCTCGGGGTAACTGAACACTTACAATTAGACTTACTCGGATCTTTCTGCAAATACGTGTGAATTTATATCAACTACTTTGTTCAGAAGAATTGTGTTGCTATCCACAAACTGAAACACGCCCATCCTTTGAAATTCACACTTCTCTGAATTTGGCAGTGAAGTTTTCCAACCTGCCTGGATAGCTCAGTTGGTTAGAGCATAGTGCTGATAACGCCAAGATTGCAGGTTTGATCCCCGTATGAGACAGCGGCATATTCCTGCATTGCAAGGGGTTGGACTAGATGATCCTCAGTGTTCCTGAGTGGACAAGACCAATAGTGGTTCTGGTGGTCAAGAAGGCAGTTTCTGCTTGTGCTGTACAGGGAAGGGAGGGGCAGGTGAGGATCATCAACCTGGGAAGGTAGCCCACCTAGGATAAGGAAAACTCTGCTCCTAAACCTCCTCTGCCTTACGAAATATCTTCGGGAGAAGCTAAGGACCAAAGCCTGCACCAATCCAGAGCGGAGTCCTTAAGGGTCAGGGAATGGTCTGAAGAATGGACTGGGGAATGCATTCTGTGGCAGACCAGGAGAGCTGGAGGGGGAAGAGCCACCCCCCCCTTGTCCACAATGTGTTCAGAAGCAGAGAGAGAGACAGGAGCTGAACAGCTTAGTGGGGAGTTACCCAGTTACGAGATAATGACAACAGAACCAGAAGAGAGGGGGCAGCTAGTTGAGACGTCACTTGAGAGCATGGGAGACCCCCCCTCATCATGGACTTGGAGGTCCGAACATATCAGAGAGCAAAGGAGTCAGAGGCAGTGAGGAACTTCCCTTTGGCACCCAAAATGCTGTGGAAGTCGGATTAGACTAGCCAACTGCCCTCCTTGTGGAGAGCTGTGTATTTGTGCTCGCAACATGATGCTGTAATAAAAGGACTATAAATCTATCAGCCACTCATTAATTCTTATCTGTGAAGTCACTGAAGGGAGGGGAGGACTCTCCACGCCTGACACTAAAATAGCTGGATGGCACCTTGTACGCCTCCTTCCGGCAAGTCCTGCAGCTAAGCTGGTGCCAAACGTTTTGCTCTGCTTTCCTTTGGACCACATCAGTGAGGCTGAGAGGGGGGTCTGGGCAGCCCAGGACCTCCAGACACACTGCCCAGGCTTATGCCCCGGGGTGTGTGTGTCATTTTGGTGTTGCTAACACAGCAATTTGGCACCATCACTGGAGGTGCACTCTGTTGTCTCTCAGAACAGATGCCAACAACAACAACAAAATGTGCTAGGGACAGGAAGCCTCTATTAGTCCAAGGGCTGCATGCCCTTGTGGGCAGTTCTTCAGGGGGCTGCATGCCAGTGGGGGGGGGGGAGAAGCAAAAGTAGGTGGAGCAATGAATGTGATTCTTACCTTATAAGTAGGTAAAGGTAAAAGGTAGAGGACCCCTGGATGGTTAAGTCCAGTCAAAGGCGACTATGGGGTTGCGGTGCTCATCTTGCTTTCAGGCTGAGGGAGTCGGCGTTTGTCCACAGAAAGATTTCCGAGTCATGTGGCCAGCATGACTAAACTGCTTCTGGTGCAATGGAACACCGTGATGGAAACCAGAGTGCACAGAAATGCCGTTTATTTTCCGCGGCAGTGGTACCTATTTATCTACTTGCACTGGTATGCTTTTGAACTGCTAGGTTGGCAGGAGCTGGGATGGAGCAACGGGAGCTCACTCTGTCGTGGGGATTCAAACTGCCGACCTTCCGATCAGTAAGAGGTTCAGTGGTTTAGACCACAGTGCCACTCGTGTCCCTTTGTATAAGTAGGCTGAAGTCCAGCTATGCAAAGGTTCCATATACACACACAGTTCAATGCCAGAGGCATCGCCACAGTTCAGTAAAATATTTCACCCAGGCAAAAGCACTCTGGGAGTGCACAGTGCAAAGTCAGAGAATGGTATGACCTGGGGGAGGTTTCAGGTCTCTGTTCCCCACCCGACCCTGCTCTAGGGTGGCCTAATGCACATTATTAAGCAACCCTTTGTGAAATCTCAGTTCAGACAACGCGCTGGGCTTTGCAAAACCCTGTATATATTGACTCAGAAGTCCAATTCAGTTCATTGGGACTTGCTCCCAGGTAAATGGGTACGGGATGGCAGGCTTAATCCCACAGAGGTTAGCCAGATTAGATTGCTTTAGATTCAAGTACTTTGATTTGTGCATTAGACTATTAGATCTAACGCCTACAGAAGCTGGTCTCTGGGCTGAGTCATTGAATTCGTGCAGAAAAAGAGGGAGGGGAGGGAAATGGAGACCCCACCTTTGTTGGGGAAAAGGCTTTGTTAGATGGGAGCCATTTTCACAGTTGACTACAAGGTCGGGAGGTCAAAGGGCTTGCTTGGGAATCACAGTCAGTTCCTGGCTAAAGGGTGAAGAGAGTCCAGTTCTGCTTTGGTGCAATTCTCAGCTTAAGTTCTATATCTCTTACTTGAGTTTCACCCAGGACTGATTTGGGCCCTGCATTTGAGATCAGTGTCTTTTGTTGGAGTGGTTGAGATACTGTTGTTGTCATCTTTTTTATTATGAAAAAGAAAAAGAAAAGAAATTATATCGGCTATCTTCCTGGTCTGGTGGACATTAAAATGTCACCATTTATTATGCTAGTTGAGATCCGTGCATATTTAAAAGCAGTCTTAATATTTCCTGGACAGGGATTGTTCACAGAATAGACACCTCCTGCTTCTGACATTTGTCAATAAAAACTTAATGGGACGCAGAGTTGTCACTGCGCATTTTGGGTGTCTTTTTGTGATGTCTCACCCTAGCCGAGAATTCGTATATCAATCATTCCCCATTTACTGTAGCATCTATATTTATTTTCCATTTCATTTTTTTTTGGAAAAATAAATAAATTGAAATTTGATCTTTTAGATAATAAAGGCTTGACTATGGAAGTATGTGAAAATTGTTACCATTATTATAAGCGAATAAAGCACCAGAAATGGAAATGGAAAAGAAAAGAAAAAAATATCAGGGGGAAAAGGGAACAATTTTGTATTCTTACCTATTTAGCAAAATGTTAGCTGTCGTGGAATATACTCCTGAAAGTCAGGTGTGGGAAAAAGGTGCATCGATTTGTCTTTATAAGGCTGCAATCTTATACGTACCTCCTTGGGTTTTGGGATGGACATAGTTGCCAATTTTGGTTTCTCTCGGTTTCTCATTTTCCTGAAGTCTTAATTTCAGCTTTGAACATTTCAGCATCAGTTCACATTTTGGGTCTAAAAAAAGGTTGCTATGAAATTTTAGGAGCATTTAGTGCAGATTTATCACAACATTCTCTATGCAGTTTTGCCTAATATACATGTTTATGCAAGCATTTCTCCTAATATAATTCATTAAATATATACTGCATTTCCCTAATGTATTTTTGTAATGTTTTTAATGTAACGCTTTATCCACACTATCCCCTAACACCACACATTTTTGTACATTGCTGCCAAGACAACATTTGTAGAAGTGTGAATTTGAAGGACAGCTAGGCTTCAGCTCATATATTGCCTAAGAACCTGCAGGTTATGTTCACATTAAAATCCTAACTAAATGAAAACTGTCCCCCACTGCTGTCTACTTGGGAGTAAGTTCCCATTGAGTTTAGTGGGACCTACCTCTGGGTAAACAAATAAAGAACTGCATTGTTATTCAATTTGGCTTGACTATGGTTAAATGGCAGGTAGATTCCAGGTCCTAGGCAGGCGTCAGCAAACTTTTTCAGAGGGGGCCGGTCCACTGTCCCTCAGACCTTGTGGGGGGCCGGACTATATTTTGAAAAAAAATATGAACGGATTCCTATGCCCCACAAATAACCCAGAGATGCATTTTAAATAAAAGCACACATTCTACTCATGTAAAAACACCAGGCAGCCCCCACAAATAACCCAGAGATGTGTTTTAAATAAAAGGGCACATTCTACTCATGTAAAAACACGCTGATTCCCAGACGGTCCGCAGGCCGGATTTAGAAGGCGATTGGGCTGGATCTGGCTCCCGGGTCTTAGTTTGCCTACCCATGTCCTAGAGATTTTTAAAAAAAGAAAACCCAAGACTGATTTGCAGAGAAAGATTCATTCACAGGCAAGAACAGGGACCTGAGTTTTTAGATCTGTATTTTAATCCATGTCGGCTAGTTGTATTTTTCATTCCCATGGTGCTATATTGCACTTAATGACAGAATATAGTCAGATGTCTGCTGTGCCATTTGAAACAGAGACTAACCTTTTCACCCTCCAACGGTGGGTGGACCATGGCGAGAAACACATAACAGCCTCCCTCCCGAATGGAAGGTCAGCAGGTCGTACCATGTGATTTTTGAACCTGGAGCCGATTGCAATTTATGGGCTCTTCTCTGTTTCTTTCGGCGAATCGTTTCATCCGTGAGTAAAACGTGCCTCTATTGTGTATGAGCAACTTAGGGTATATATGTGGTGCACTGAAGGAGCATCTATTTATAACATGCCACAGAAACCTCTTTTGGAACGTGCTGTCGAATCGCAATCCCTTGCTGTACATTTGCAAGAATTATTAACGGAAGGTTGGAGCAACAGAAACAAGGAGTTTGTGTGTGTGTATCCTTATTTCCCTTATTTTATGGTTCTTGGCTATGTGGAAAATATACATTTAGTTCTTCCCACCTCCCCTTCTGTTTAGCTAGCACTGGCTAGCACTGGGGATAGGTCTGTGTTTGCCAGATGAGGTCAAGCAGCTCACAAGATATTACCCTGGTGGAAAAGGTTAAGGGGGACATTCCAATAAGGAAACACATGCTTGATAAAAATGATTCGAGGGGATCTAATTTTGCATACCTGTAACTCAGGATAACATTTCATGGATCTGATGAACGGGATTGTATTCCGTGAAAGTCTAAGCCACGATAAATTTGTTAATCTTTAAGGGGCCCAATATTTTTGAGTGTTTCCCCCCCTTTCAACAGCCCCTCTGTAAATTATATTTTATAGAAGCTCACAGCAAGCAAGCAAGCAAGAGGCTTCACCAGCTCCACTGCCTGAAACCTTTGGACCACATAATAAACTGACTGAAATAATCAATACAAATATAAGCACACAATGTGGATGTAGAGGCAGCTTACATCGAATCAGGCAAAAAGAACAGGACGTCTGGGACGTTTTCTGTGCTTTCTTTCTGACATAAATATATACATATAAATATATGAATGAGAGAGAGAATGACTTGGTATTTGATCATGGGGTTCTACTGAAATAACTGAACTTGTTTTGCAGGAAGAATGGAAGGAAGGAAGGAAGGAAGGAAGGAAGGAAGGAAGGAAGGAAGGAAGGGAAAAAAAAGAGAAAGAGAGAACGAACAAATTTTCTGGCTTCAAATGGAGCAGATACATGGGTTGAGGACGCTTCTCAGGCTTTCTGCTTACACAACAGTCCTTTGGCTGACGGTAAATGTATATACATGGCAGCCTCCAAAATAGGCCAGCAGAAAGGAGGCAACATTTGTGCACTCGTCACTTCATTTTTAACTTAACTGACTCACCAGCTCCTGGGAGAGACCCTCTTGTGCATCACATCACCAAAACCATCTGCTAGGATTCTGCTTGAAATCGCCTGCATCTCTGGGGGCTGCAGTGGGAAGGAGGGAGGGAGGGCAGAGGAGGGTGGGGTGAGAGGCAAAGACACACTCTTTTGTGGAAATTGAAGGGGGAGGAAAGAGCACTTTAACCCATTCAGACCTGGAATAATTTCCCTTTGATAATGGGTAGGGTACCTCTCTTTGATAGTGATGTATGGAAGTGAGAGCTGGACCATAAAGAAGCCTGATCGCCGAAGAATTGATGCTTTTGAATTATGGTGCTGGAGGAGACTCTTGAGAGTCCCATGGACTGCAAGAAGATCAGACCTATCCATTCTGAAGGAAATCAGCCCCGAGTGCTCACTGGAAGGACAGATCGTGAAGCTGAGGCTCCAATACTTTGGCCACCTCATGAGAAGAGAAGACTCCCTGGAAAAGACCCTGATGTTGGGAAAGATGGAGGGCACAAGGAGAAGGGGATGACAGAGGACGAGATGGTTGGACAGTGTTGTCGAAGCTACCAGCATGAGTTTGACCAAACTGCGGGAGGCAGTGGAAGACAGGAGTGCCTGGCGTGCTCTGGTCCAAGGGGTCACGAAGAGTCGGACACGACTGAACGACTAAACAACAGCCTCTCTTTGAGGCTATGTTTCTCTTCCTTCTAACCACCCCACTTTTGGGCTTAAGTCACTTGTGGTTGTTTTGCAGGAGGATGTGGAGGCTGCAACCAACACTTATGCCCACGTAGCTCAGGGCCCATCAACACTCTACGTTTAAAGAAGCAACACCTCAGTTCCAACAGTCATGGCTTCCCCCAAAGAATCCTGGGAGCTGTAGTTTGTTAAGCATGCTGAGAGTGCTAAGAGGTTCCTATTCTCCTTAAAGAGTTACAGCTTCCACAGCGGTTTAACAATCTTCCCAGGGAATGAATAATAATAATAAATAATAATTTTTTATTTATACCCCACCCTCCCCGGCCAAAGCCAGGCTCATGGTGGCTAACACCAATAAAATTACAATAAAACATAATGGGGGGGGGACAAACAAACAAACACCAGTTTATTAAAATATGGGTTAAAATACAATTTAAAATGCAGCCTCATTTTAATGGTAGCCAATAAATCAAAACCATAAAGGGAGGGAAACATAAGGATCAGACTGAGTCCAATCCAAAGGCCAGGCGGAGCAGCTCTGTCTTGCAGGCCCTGCGGAAAGATGTCAGGTCCCGCAGGGCCCTAATCTCTTGTGATAGAGCGTTCCACCAAGTCGGGGCCAGTACTGAAAAGGCCCTGGTCTTAGTTGAGACCAATCTAACCACCTTGCAGCTTGGGACCTCAGAAGTGTTGTTATTTGTGGACCTTAAGGTCCTCTGTGGGGCATACCAAGAGAGGCGGTCCCATAGGTACGTGGGTCCTAGGCCGCATAGGGCTTTAAAGGTCAAAACCAGCACCTTAAACCTGACCCTGTACTCCACAGGGACCCTGTACTCCACTGGGAAACATAGCATTGTGAAGGGAATAAAGGGAACCCTGACCATTAGGTCCAGTCGTGGCCGACTCTGGGGTTGCGGCGCTCATCTCGCTTTAATGGCCGAGGGAGCCGGCGTACAGCTTCCGGGTCATGTGGCCAGCATGACTAAGCCACTTCTGGAGAACCAGAGCAGCGCACGGAAACGCCGTTTACCTTCCAGCCAGAGCGGTACCTATTTATCTAATTGCATTTTGACATGCTTTCGAACTGCTAGGTTGGCAGGAGCAGGGACCGAGCAACGGGAGCTCACCCCGCCGTGGGGATTTGAACCACCGACCTTCTGATCAGCAAGTCCTAGGCTCTGTGGTTTAACTCACAGCGCCACCCGCGTCCCTTGTGAAGGGAGTAGCAGTCTCCTAATAATTCCTGGCCCCCGTAGCAAACTATAGTTTCCAGATTATTATTATTTTATTTTATTTTGCAGGGGGGGGGGAAGCCATTACATTTTAAAGTGGTATGATACCGCTTTAAATGCATAATGCAGAAGGGACCTCAGTATTTTTTGTTAAAAGTGCATGTGGTCAACCCTTTGCATTTGTACAACAACAGTTCATGAGAGGGATGTAGCCAGTGCTTTTTTTTCTCTCTAGAAAAATATGTGCCGGTACTCATCATGAAGTTGTTATCGTGAGTGCCACACATTTTAATAACAAAAAAGAAGAAGTGCCTGTACTGCGGACCTTTGAGTACCCCCCCCGGGGGGGGGGGAAGCAGTGGATGGAACAATGTTAACATGTGTAGAGTTGGAGGAGAAATTCAGTTTGATTTGCATTTTAATGAAAATTTTCTTATTGGTACTTCTCAAACCAAAGGCAAACTGAAGCACAGCTGTCCCTCTGAATTCGCACTTCTTTTCATTTTGCGATGTAGTTCGCCAACCGTAGAAATACCGTATTTTTTGCTCTATAAGACTCACTTTTTCCCTCCTAAAAAGTAAGGGGGAATGTGTGTGCATCTTATGGAGCGAATGCAGGCTGCGCAGCTATCCCAGAAGCCAGAACAGCAAGAGGGATTGCTGCTTTCACTGCGCAGCGATCCCTCTTGTTGTTCTGGCTTCTGAGATTCAGAATATTTTTTTTCTTGTTTTCCTCCTCCAAAAACTAGGTGCGTCCTGTGGTCTGGTGCGTCCTATAGAGCGAAAAATACGGTATGTAAAAATTGCACATATTAGTAAGAATTGTGCACAAACATGCATATATTAGTGGAAATAACATCCAAAATCCAGCATATCAGGGGAAATTTCTTGCAAAAAAGTGTCTATTAGGATGCTAATAATAATAATAATAATAATAATAATAATAATAATAATGTATTATTTATACCCCACCCATCTGGCCGGGTCTCCCCAGCCACTCTGGGGGGCTTCTAACAAAATATTAAAATACAGTAATGCATCAAACATTAAAAGCTTCCCTAAACAGGGCTGCCTTCAGAGGTCTTCTAAAAGTCTGGTAGTGGTCTTCTCTTTGACATCTGGTGGGAGGGTGTTCCACAGGGTGGGTGCCACTACCGAGAAGGCCCTCTGCCAGGTCCCCTGTAACTTTGCTTCTCACAGTGAGGGAACTGCCAGAAGGCCCTTGCCGGTGGACCTCAGTGTCCGGGTAGAACAATGGGGGTGGAGACACTCCTTCAGATATACTGGACCGAGGCCGTTTAGGGCTTTAAAGGTCAGCACCAACACTTTGAATTGTGCTCAGAAACGTACTGGGAGCCAATGTAGGTCTTTCAAGACCGGTGTTATATTTATGGTAGAATTGTGCAGCAAAGTGATGGACATTTTTGGGGTGAGCTGATGGGGAATTTGGCAAACCAAAATCAAGATTGGGGAAAATCAGAAACCGAAGTTGACAGATATATCCATTCCTAGGTGTGGAAAGCAAAGGAGTTAGTACTTGAGTGAGGAATGCTTTTGGATCTCTTTGGAACTCTGAATGGGAAACATTTTTGCCCCACATCTTGTGCATATTTGTTAGTGTTGGTCCCTTGTTATCTTGGCTTTCCTTCTTCTCTCTTGTTTGTTAGTCTTTCCTCTCCGATCTCTCCCTCCTATTTGTCACTCCAGCTCACTTGATATTTAGATTGTAAACTCCTTGGGGGCCATCACAGTTAAAAAAAGCCCATTTCTTTTGACATTGCTAGATGAGTCACTTGAATAACACATACAGAGTCCAGAGAGAAAAGAAACTGTTAATACTTCATTGGGTAAACTCAACAAGAACAGTGTACAACTTGAGAAGAAATAAACACAGGGGTTTAGTCTTTCTTAGTAATTCAGGCCTAGTCCATACCAGGAAGATATTCAGCAACATTTACCGGGGGGGGGGAATGCCTACATGAACTATACAGCCAATCAGAGCATGCGTTACATCAGCAAGGATCATACTATTCCGGCTGGTTGCTAAGCAACATCTCCACCTGCTCTTCTTGGTTGACAGGTGAACTGTAATCAGAATTAACCCGTTGGCTACTAATTTGATGATCTTTGCTGTCATACTTCCAACAGTTGTTGCTTATGATGGCCTGTATGGTGCCATCTACAATGGCAGAGCTGTAAAAATGCTAACAATATTCATTACTGTATTTCTTCCTGGAGTTTCACAAAACCATCTACGGCAGTTGTGGGATCATTTAGGTTAGGTCTCACCAGTCTTCCATTACAGAACTTGAGGAAGCTTACTCGTGGTTCCCAGTCATTCTCCCAGCTAAGCGCTGATCAGACTCAGACTTACCAAGCTTCAGCAATGTGTTGGCCTCATGTATCGTCGCTTAACTCTCTGGGACTATACTTCCATTTCCCCTTCCTTGATCCATGACATCTTCTTTGTTTCTGTGTCGCTGTTTGCACATCTGCAGTGCAAATGCTGAACAGTCACACACTGGGATAATGAGCAAAATTTACTTAGGGGTTCAACTTGCCGTGTGCAGTATCTTGAAGGGGGATCCTGCTCTTTGCCGGGCTGGCTCCAGGCTTGAGGGACCCGGGGCAATCTTCTTGGCAGGCTTACTTGTCATCTGTGCACAGCAGCAGAACTTTGAAAAGCAGTGGGTGTTGGATTCAACCTTTCTAATGCCTCATATGTAGCTTCACTTTGGGACATTGCAGTCAAGTAAAGTGATGGGTAGACCTTGGTCCCTGGTGCTGCTTAATAGTGTTGAGCTGTCAAAATGATGTTTGTGTGTGAGAGAGAGGAGGATGGGGTGGGGCAGGACAGCCATCAACCTTGCAAGGACACAGGAGCCTTGCATCCAGTGGCGGACCTACATTTTGGGGGTCCTGAAGCTTGAAATATAGATGATAGATGATAGATGATAGATGATAGATAGATAGATAGATAGATGATAGATAGATAGATAGATAGATGATAGATAGATAGATAGATAGATAGATAGATGATATAGATATCAATTTGACTCAAATCAATGTGACTCAGATTGTGTCTACTAGACCCATATTTTTTTTTAAAGCGATATGGACTAAAGTCACTTCTGGGCCCTCTGGGATTAGGGGCCCTGAGTTTCATTTGTTTAATAGTAGACCCACCCTTGCTGGGCAGTCTGGCATCGATTTTGAATTCTCCTTTCCAGAACATTGTAGGATGCATATGAGTGTGGGATGAATTGAAGTTCACACACACACATGGTGGAGTATGTTTGGATGCAATTTTGCAAAGTAGTCTTTTTCTAGAACAGGGGTGGGGAACTTGTGGTCCTCCATATGTTGATGGACCACAACTCCCACCCACCCCTGTCCATTTGCCATGATGTCTTGGGCTGGTGGCAGCTGGATTCCAACAACATCTGGAGAGCCACAGGTTCCCCAATCCTGTCCTAGGGGATGGGTGATGGGGAAAAGAGATGTTTCAGGAACTTTATCAAAATATCAAATGCCATTTGATATAATGCCTACATCTCCATCCTGTACTTTCAGTCCAAAGGTTCCCATGCAGACTTAATCCATGATCTCCTGTAAAGCCCTAATGGACCTATGCCAGGACCTAAGAGTTATTAGTGGTTAAAAGAGGAGCCCTTATGGGATGCGGGTGGTGCTGTGGGTTAATCCACAGAGCCTAGGACTTGCTGATCAGAAGGTTGGCGGTTTGAATCCCCACAACGGGGTGAGCTCCCGTTGCTTGGTCCCTGCTCCTGCCAACCTAGCAGTTCGAAAGCACATCAAAGTGCAAGTAGATAAATAGGTACCGCTCCAGCAGGAAGGTGAACGGCGTTTCCGTGCGCTGCTCTGGTTCTCCAGGAGCAGCTTAGTCATGCTGGCCACATGACCCGGAAGCTGTACGCCGGCTCCCTTGGCCAATAAAGCAAGATGAGCGCGCAACCCCAGAGTCGGCCACGACTGGACCTAATGGTCAGGGGCCCTTTTACCTGTATCCTTTACCTAGTCTTTAGCTCTGGAATTCCCTGCATTTGGCTGAAAGCAGAAGAGGGTAAGGATGGGAATCAAGATATGATAAGGCTAGGATCCAAAGGCAGTTTGAGAGGGCTTGTTTTTTGCAAATGGCAACTGCCATGCTGAATAGTGAACCTCTTTTGAATCTCTATGGGGCATTGAAAAGCGGTTTGCGATAGGTTGTGAGCATCTGCATATCAAAGGGGGAAGAGGTCAAAAATCCCACTAGGAATGTTGAGGCTTGGGTATGCCCTAAATAGCTCTTTGGAACCCTGCCTAGAGGATGGAACTTTTTATTTTCTTGGTCATATATTCAGCATAGCAGTTGTTATCAGCCGTAAAGCTGGAGGCCATCAAATTCGGGGGGGGGGGGGACATTGTTCAGCAAGAGAAGGAAAACACGTCAAAAAGAGAGAGGGGCAAAATGGAAGGAGCAAAAGGAAGACCTAGCATAGAGAGAACGCAATCCATTTTGTGTAAAACTCATTCTTAAGGAGTTAATCCTTTTTAATACATTTTGCATCCCTGATTTTGTGTGTGTGTGTGTGTGTGTGTGTGTGTGTGTGAGAGAGAGAGAGAGAGAGAGAGAGAGACTAAGCCAAGTTCTTTTTTAGCTCTACCCTTTTGAAAACTGCTGGTTAAAGATAAATTGAAATGCCAGGATTGAAATTGCCCACGTTAGCCCCTAAGGGAGCCCAACCTGTCATCTCGCATTAGCTACCGCTAGACCAAAAGCCCAAGGCAAGGAGAAGGCTGATTCTGAAGAAAAGGCTGGGAGCCAGAAGCTCATCTCAGTGCTGTTGTAATCTTCCATCTCCATCCTTTTAAGCTGGAGATGAGCAAAGCTTCCTGCTTTCAAAGCACCGGTTTCCACCTTTAAAATAAACAACGACTGTGTTCTGCAAAATCTGAAATGGGGGTGGTGTTCAGTTGCACACACATGAACACATACATAGGAATTTGGACCAATTTGTCTGATGAAGCCATGGTAAGATCCAGTACGCTCTGCTCCAGCTGTGTACTGTAATCCACTGCTCCAATATAGATGCTTTAGACTGTGTGGAGAGAAAAAAAACATATTTGAATAACACACTTGTTTGCAAGAAGCTTCCTTGGACTGTCAGATTAATGGTACACTAAACTGCATATTGTTAACTGAGAATGGCAGAAAATCTCTCTAGAAACTCTTGTCAAAGGTCTCTCCTATCTCACTACCACACATCTTTTATCTGGAGATACTGGAAATTAAATGTAGGGACTCCAGCATTTGAATCCTGTACTCATTCTCCACAGCACACTACTTAGCGATGGTTGAGAAATTCAGCCTTGCAGGTCCCTATAAGAAAGGATGTCATTCATAGCTCTCAGACTGACACATATTTTGACAGAAAATGCACATCTGAATTGTTATTGGGAGAGAGCATGCACATTGAAATAGGCATTAAAACATGTAGTTTTAGCAGTTGCAGTAGAAGGCAACAACTACAATATGCAGATGTAGTGGAAGACTGCTAGTTTGAAACTAGTGTGTGTGTGTGTGTGTGTGTGTGTGTGCAGGTTAATGTGGAAATGAAAGTGAATTATGGATAAAACCTGCAAAATTGACCTGGATTGGAATAGACAGATTCACCCATTTGTAACAGTCTATCACAGGGGTCAGCAACCTTTTCAGCCGTGGGCCGGTCCACCGTCCCTCAGACCTTGTGGGGGGCCAGATTATATTTTGAAAAATATATATGAATGAATTCCTATACCCCACAAATAACCCAGAGATGCATTTTAAATAAAATCACACATTCTACTCATGTAAAAACACCAGGCAGGCGCAACAAATAACAAGAGATGCATTTTAAATAAAAGGACACATTCTACTCATGTAAAAACACGCTGATTCCCTGACCATCCGCGGGCTGGATTGAGAAGGCCAATTGGGCCGCATTCGGCCCCTGGGCCTTAGTTTGCCTACCCCTGGTCTATCATGTTGGCTAAAAGGTCTTTCATTTAGGGCTGCAAACCCCTAAACACTTACTGTACCAGGGACCAAGGTCCCACTGAGCTCAGTAGGACTCACAAGTAGACATGGTATCCATCTAGATGGGTTTGTGTGTGTGTGTGCATGTGTGCGCATCACCTGACACACAAATCAAGTTTGTTGGAGACCAGATGAGTGTTTGAAGGGGAATCCATCTTTATTTATTTATTTTATTTATTAATTGCATTTATATTCCACTTTTCCCTCCATGGAGCTCCACAGTTCTCCGCCGCTTCATGTAATTCCCACAACAACCCTTTGAGGTAGGTTAGGTTGAGAGACAGGGATTGGTCCAAGGTCACCCATTGAGCTTCATGGTCGAGTGGGGATTTGAACCCTGGTCTCAAAAGTCTTAGGCCAACACTCAAACCACTATACCATACGGACTCTCCATGAATTCCATTGCTTAACTGGAACAAATGTGGGATGGATATCTCACCTAGTCACAAGGTTTACAAACAAACAAACAAACAAACAAACAAACAAACAAACTGTGGTTGTGAGTTGAAAAAATGTAATCCTTTTGGATGCCAAAGAAATTAGAATAATCATAGCAACCTCCTCCTGTTAACATTCACTCTACAGATGGAGATGGGAGGGCTCAGGGCAACAGAGAATGCTTGACGTATGTTGTCAAATACGCCAGGACATCATTTAGCCAGTGGGGAGAAATGTTTTTGGTTTCAGAAACAATAATACTAAAAACAAGGAGTCTTGCAGGCAGAATTTCGTTCTGCTTTTATATTCATACAGAAACCTATGGTGTAAAAAACAAAACAAAAACCCCCCCTACTTGCTAGTAGGGAATTCTTGCAGAGGAAACAGAAGGAGCAAAAATGGTCTATTATATCAAACATATACCCAATCTCTCTCTCTCTCTCTCTCTCTCTCTCTCTCTCTCTCTCCTTCCTTCCTTCCTTCCTTCCTTTCTTTCTGGCAGACAACTCAGAGCTCAAACCAAGTGCACTGCAAGTCAGGAGAACTGATTCCCTTCTTGGGAGGTACCCAACATGGTGCCCTCTGGAAGCTGTCAAATTCCAGCTCCCTTCATCCATGACCATTGGCCATGCCAGCTGGGGCCAAATCACACCTAGAGGGCACTGCATTGGCTGCCCATGTGTCCCTCACTATCTGTTAGTGGATTAGGGCAGCGCTGTCCAGCTGAGATATAGTAACTCCAAATACCTGACCCCCTCTGGTCCAAGGTGGTCCACCAAGTGATTCTGGAGAGCCAGTTCCATGTCAGTGTCTTGCTATAAAGCTTCAAGGTCAGCTGAACTAGTCCCAGTCTGGGCATCTCATCACTGAGAACCATCAGCTGGAGGAGGCGGAGAGGGCAAAGGGTGAAGAAAGACCTATGAATAGAGAGAGGCCCTTTTCTCTATCCTCTGGATCCCCTGGGAAACTCAGCAAACGTGCTGTACCTGGAATTGGATGTGGAAAGTGTACCTGAATGGAGCACAGCTGTAGGCAGCCTGAGGAAAAAACATCTACCTTGGGCCCAGCCATCAAAATCAAGTCCCAAGTGAAAGACTAGAGTGATGTCCACTGTTTTCAGGAACTCCTCTCACTGCGAGACTTTTGTGGGTCAGCCAAGAGTTTGTTTGGACCCTGTGTGAGAACCCTGTGGCCGTGAGGGAGGTTGTGTCAGAAGGAAAGTGACTTGATATCGATTGATATATAAACTTTGTATCTATGTAATATTTTCATACGTACGTAACTGTGTACAGTGGTACCTTGGTTCCCAAGCTTAATCCATTCCGGAAGTCCGTTCCAAAACCAAGGTGTGCTTTCCCATAGAAAGTAATGCAAAACGGATTAATCCGTTCCAGACTTTTAAAAACAACCTCTAAAACAACTATTTAACATGAATTTTACAAGACCATTGATCAATAA